ACTTGGAGGACTGTCATCCTCAGGCTATAAGTAAAGGCTGGACCGCAACCTTCATATGAAGATGAAAATGTCTCATATCTAGTATTAAACCAAGATTCAATTGTAAGTGTCATTATCTTTCATGCACAGAATGAAAGAAGTATCATTTCATCCTTACTACAGGCACAAAAAGTCTTAGGCCATGTTCAATCTGATTTTTTTCTTGGTTTTTCAAGATTCAAAAATTTAGTTGAAAGCTTAGCAGAAATTGCACTAATACGTTTAATCAGCAACAATCAGCAAGGAACTAATTCAATCAGACTCATGTTAAAATTGAGGATGTGCTGTTTTTAACTATTCATTCCAGCAAGGGAAGAATGAAAATTTCATGAGTCCCCCCTCCCCCCCATGCCCGATGACTTGTCAGGGGGCAGGCAAGGAATAGCAGGCAACAGACTTGTCATTTTTTTTTCATGCCTCTAGGCAACATCAGAAGAGCTGCACAGGTAAGGATTAACAGGTCCCAGCCATAAAAATGGCAGCAAACAGGTGAGGGTCAGTGGTGGAATGGGATTAAAAATATTGGTTGTTAGGAGACAAAGGAGACCCACCCATAAAAGATCGAAGTGTATATAATGTATGTGTCAGCCCCACATAACCTGAATCAGAATTATTTTTTCTGAGTTATTTATTATATTCTTAAATATAAAGTATTCTCAAAATGTTTTTATTATTATTTTTTCTTCGTGGTCTCTGCGAATGCACACTTGTGGAGAGTCTGCGCCTGCGCGGGCTCCAACGGAAAACTTCTACTTTTGAAACTTTTAAAGTTTTGGCGGTAACCCCGCCCAGCCCCGGCAGGGGATAAAAGGGCGCCCCGCGCCGCCACTCCAATTCCTTTCTTTCCGCCGCACGGCTCACTTCGGTGCTTCTTGTGTTGGTTAGGATAGTTAGTGATATTGTTGGATAGTGTTGGATAGCGTTCTTCTCATCTCCATCGAGTTGTTGACCGGATTATGTCAACAACTCGCTTCAAGAAGTGTTCGAGATGTCCGAAAAAGATCCCTGATGTTTATGGAGGTCCACTTGTCATCAAGGACCCACTTGCCATTGGTCAAGCTGACACCCTGGCCAGTCCACCACTGGTAAGCATGAGGTGAAGTGGGGGCTATATTCATTTCTTAGGCTTGCCAAGGGCTGAAGGGGCAATTGAGAAAGTTACTTGATAAGAATTATCTTTTTCAGGGTTTTCAGACACTAAAACCCCCCCTTTCTTAGTTTTTCCCTTGAATATTCAAATATTCTTTCCATCTCAAGCTAAAATGAGGGGAAATAATCACAATCTTTATGCTTAATTTCCATTTAAGTTTTAAATTAAAATTCTCTTTTAGAAGTGGGTTGCTGTGAGTTTTCAGGGCTGTATGGACATGTTCCAGAAGCATTCTCTCCTGACATTTCACCCACATCTCTGGCAAGCATTCTCAGAGATTGAGAGGTCTGTTGGAAACTAAGCAAGTGAGATTTATATATCTGTGGAATGTCCAGAGTGTAAGAAAGAACTCTCACCTGCTTGAGGCAAGTGTGAATGTTGCAAATGGCCACCTTGATTAGCATTTAATTGTCTTGAAGCTTCAAAGCCTGGCTAGTTGCTGTTTGGGGGAATCCTTTGTTTGGGACATGCTAGCTGGCCCTGATTGTCTGGAATTTCCTTCCTTTTTTAGTGTTGCTCTTTATGTAATGTCCTGATTTTAGAGGGTCTTTTTAATACCAATAGTCAAATTTTGTTCATTTTCATGGTTTCCTCCTTTCTCTTGAAATTGTCCACATGCTTGTGGATTTCAGAGGCTTCTCTGTATAGTCTAACATGGAGGTTGTGAGAGTGGTCCAGCATTTCCATGTTTTCAGATAATATGCTGTGTCCAGGTTGGTTCATCAGGTGCTCTGCTATGGATGACCTTCTCAGGTTGAAATAATCTGCAGTGCCTTTAATGCCCTTTGACTCATGTTTGGACAATGCTGCATGGTCTACGGTAGACTCCTGCAGAGGTGAGAGAATACCTTGACAGACCCACCAAGAAAATCCAACAAATCCCTCTAGCATTTGTTGGATTTTCTTGGTGGGTCTGTCGATAGTTTTCAGGTTGTGTTGCTTCAACAGCTTCCTTATGCAATCCGTTGTTCCCCTTGATGTATGGTAAGAACACTTTTCCTCTGGGCGGGTCTTTGTCTTTACTCTTGTGTCTTGTTCTTGGACTTGCAGATCTTTTGATGTTTGTGGTGGAGTATCCATTGGTCTGTAGAGCCCAGTTTAGGTGCTCCTGTTCACCTTGGATGAGGTGGAGTTTGCAGATTCTTTTTGCACAATGCATCAGGGCTTTAACTGTGCCTCTTTTTTGACTTGTGTGATAGTTGGATTTTTATGTAAGTATCTATCTGTGTGTGTGTGTGTAGGTTTTTTTGTAAACTGTGTGGCATGATTCTCTTTCAGAGGCCTTGCCAGAATGAAACAAATGCCATTGAAGAACCACTTTACTAGAGACTTAAGATTGTCCACACATTGTACTTACCCAAAAATCCTTATATTTCAACTGTCATAATCAGCACTTTTAATCTGTACCCATTTACACTTGGCCTGGCCTTAGTTTTATTGTGCTATGGTGTACTGTTTTTATTGTTTACTGTTATTGCTTCAATGTTTTGATTTGCTTTATGGTTTATGTGTATTGTTGTATTGTTGTTTTATTGAGGCCTTGGCCTTTGTAAGCCGCATCAAGTCCTTTGGGAGATGTTAGCGGGGTACAAATAAAGTTAATAATAATAATAATAATAATAATAATAATCGAGGATCTTACCCTAACTCCCTAACCTCCATAATCTTTTTAATGGAGAGAGAAGAAAATGGCTACATTATGTTTGGTAAACACTCTTTTTTTACACACTCCATTAAAAGTCCTTTTTCTTTCCTTTTCTCGTTTCCTTACCATCTTAGCTGGAACTCAACACATACAATTAGCTATCTACTGTGTGTTTCACCTTTGTTGTCAATATGCTTATGTTAGTGAATAAAACATCAGAAAAATGGGAGAGGGGGTTGTATCCTGAGACACCTGCATTCTGAAACTGCATGATGAATCTTTCTATACAAACTGTATGGAGATGTTTTTTTGCAATTATATATTTCTAAACATTAAAAACACCACATAAACAGAGTTTTAGGAAGATTGCTATGTGTAATGCTTTATCAATCTGAGCATTGAGTATATGGATCAATAACACTGCACTAAAAGACTTTGGGGACAATCATAAATACAATTGTGTCTAGCTTGTATTTTTCCTCATTGTTTTATACCATACTGTTGTGGATTTTTAATAGAAAGGTGGTAAGGTATGCCAATGGCTGAAAGGACACTTAAAGCTGAGGCAAACTCTGTCTATCTGATTCTTAAATTGCTTTAAAACAGTTTTCCTAGTTAAACCAAACCTCAGGAGAATGGAATCCAGGGCGAAACAATCCAGAGAAATAATAACAGAAGACAACAATGGACATTTTCCAGTCCCCAAGGCAGTGGAGACTTTAAAGCATTTATAGGAAGATTTAAAGCAGTTCCATTTTTTTGTCTGTCTTTATTGAAACACCTGGAGGGACATTTAAAAGGCATATATTTCAGTCCAAGCTGTACTTTCAATGGTATGGAACTGCCTGGTTTGCTTTTTGCATAACACTTATGGTTGCAGAATATCTTACATCCTCATAAGATGAAGACAAAATTTATTGTTTCCATTCACCAACCAGAGAACAAGCTAAAAGAAAGGTTCCACAAAATACATGCTTTGCATTCACAAGTCCTATCTTCAGTTCCCAGCAACTCAGCCAGTAGGGCTCAGGACAGAAACCCAACTTTTAAAAATTTGAGACAATAAGACAATGAAGCAGAATACCACGTGAGCTTTTTATTTATTGATCTGCCCTTCTTCCAATTTGCTTGCCAAAAATCATAGAAAACATTCCCAGGTGGACCACTTAGGCAGCTGAAAAGAATAGCTCTTGAACAAAGTTATGGAACCTCTTGAACATCTTTTATTATACATATCTTGATTATGATTTTTGGGAAGGGGGTATTTTTAAAAATCCACCTGCTTGAAGCAAGAAACAAACTCCTGGTAAAAATCATTTTTAAATTCCCCAACATCTGGGATGTTGGGGAATTTAAAGTGAACATCACTAAAGAATACCAAAAAAATCTTAACAATTTTAGATCTGATATTTATCTACAGTACTAACTTCATATCCATAGGGAATACACTCCAAGACTCCAGTGGTTATTTTGATTTTACTTCTCAACATATTGCTGTTGTTCATATTTCTGTTTGTGTTGCACTGGAGGATCTAGAGAGGCCTTCAAATACTTCCAGGGTGATTCTTTTTGGGAGCCTGAGTAAGTGAAATCATGGAGAAAGGACCCGTCCATGGATAAAGGGTTGCGATATACTTTAATCATCTGTAATGATTAAGGTGAATCAAGTATAAAGCCACAAGGCAAGAAGAAATATGAGAAGAAATATTTGTAAAGCAAATGGAAATATTGCATGAGATGATGTCTCACTGATCACTGTATGTCTGAGACAGAATTAGTGCAATTCCCATGGTATGAGAAGTCTAAATGCATAATGGAAGTGCTTGTTCAATGGCTCCCACAACTGCTTGAAGATGTGGGGTCATAATTTACTGCCGCAGTTAGAAGATCACAGCTTGATTGAGTCAGAATTGATGTTTTTATATGTGTATGTATTTTATTTTATTGTATTCTACATTGTGTTCACTTTTATGTTTGTTTTTAGCCACTTTGTGCAGAGATGGTGGTGGGATATAAGAATAAAGTTTATTATTATTATTATTATTATTATTATTATTATTATTATTATTATTAGATTTGATATTTGCAAACGAAGTTTTGCAGCTATGATGCTACTGATTACAACTCATTGTGTTATTAACATTGATATTAAGGTGGTGACCTTACCTCCTCCATGCGTATTATGAAAGTAGTGTTGTATCCTTGTTCTGCTACCAATTTCCCAGTTGATGTAAGGATATGCAGACCCCGAGGAGCTTTGCCCGGACATTGTTCAGATCTGGCTGCATATTTTTCCTGCAGCCCATCTGTGCAATTATTAGAAACAATCCTACGATACCTGTAAAATAACATAGGTCATGTTAGGTTGAGTTGGTAATTTCAGATGTTCTGTTTCAAGCATGAAACCACATTTGGTGCCATACACATTCTGACTGCAAAAAGGAAACAGATGCAAATAAACCCAAGAGTTTGTAATTTGCAAGAACCTTCTGCCAAGAACCTTAGGAAATGTCAACACATTTCTAAACTGAAGAATATAGAGGAAAATCCTTCTGTGATTTTTTTTGTCTACTTCCATGCCCCTTACTATAGTGAAATTTGGCATACACCCTTGATTTTGCATCATTGTGCCTAAAAAAGATAGACATGCTATATGACATTGTCTCACTAGTTTACAAAAATAATTTATATTTCTTTATAATTTGAGCACTTTTTGGGTCAAATGTTGGAGGCAGTAATGTTATTAAGCCTTAGTTTGAGTGTGCGCGTGCGCGTGCGTGCATGTGTTTTAACTTTCAAGTAATTTTAAAACCCATTCAGCATTTCTAAAATAAACAGCTGACCTATGGAGATAAATATTTCTTTGAGTCTCAGGCATCATCTACACTGCCATATAATGCAGTGTGATGCTGCATTATATGATCCATGTAGACTTGTATAATGCAGTTTAACCACCTTAAACTGCATAATATGAGTCTACACTGACCATATAATGCAGCTCCATCTGTTCCACTCCTGTTTCAATATTATATATATATGAGCTAGAAGAAACAGTAATATTTTTAATATTTCATTGAGATAAGGTTTATGCACATGCAAGTTGTGTTTGCTCTGTGCCTTCAAGTTGATTTATGGCAATTCTATCACAGGGTTTTCTTAAAGGGGAGATTTCTTGTTGCCTTCCTCTAAGAACTTTACCAAATTGGGCAGTGCTAAGACTCAGCCTGCCAGACACCATCACATGACACGGGGCTACTTCTGGCAAGGCTTTGCATGCTGCGTCTCAGCAACATGCTAAGAGGCAGCCCTTAGGACACGAGTGAGTTCCCATGTTCTCATAGACCAGTGGTTCTCAACCTGTGGGTCCCCACATGTTTTGGCCTACAACTCAAAGAAATTCCAACCAGTTTAATAGGTGTTAGGATTTGGAGACCCACAGGTTGGGAACCACTGTCATAGAGTAAGCCAGGGACAGCACGGGACCAAGCCGAGGACAGACAGGAAATGGCATGGGATGGCAAGGGAGTGACTTAATGACTTTAAGTCAAAGTTAAATGTAGTAATTAGTTATTATGATTTCTTTGTGTTACTATACGTTGGCATTGATTTTTTTGCCATTAATATCTTGTAAACTGCCTTGAGTCCCCCCCAGGGGTGAGAAATGTGGCATATAAATACAGTATATAATAATAAAATGTGAGATGCTGCCCAATGGTTTCCCATGCTGCCCCATGGATTTGCCCCCTTGCCTGACAGCGTCCTCCAAACATGGACCTCCATGTGATGAGGCCTTTAGGCCCCATCTACACTGCTACTTAATCCAGTTTTTGAATCCAGATTATCTGCTTATCTGCAGATTATCTGTAGATCTATATAATCCAGTTTAAAGCAGATAATCCAGGTTCAGAAACTGTGTAGATCCACCCTGAAAGAATATGATTTATCTCAGACTTTAACACCCATCAACTCTAAATATGATAGCCAGTGGTAAATAATTATGAAAGCACTAGTAGAATAATATCTCGGGAATCACAAATTCCCCATCCCATTTTTAAAACAAACAGAGCTCATTTTAAATGCTCTGCAAACAGACTATTCTTGCTTCTATTTTAATTTGGTCAGCAAAGCTGGTTGTCTGGGGAGCATTTATCCCTATATACAAGTACAGTCCCTAGGTATCATTTATGTTAACGATTTCCTAAGAATCATTTCTAGCTAGAATGTTACAAAAGCAAGGCTGAAACCTCCAGCTAATGGCTTAGCCTTGGAACAAGACAGAGATAACCGAGGATCTCTGAGGAATCCACTCCAGTTGGCTTTTTGTGCAAACTTTGCTTAGTCTGCACTCCATGAACTATCTCTGCATCAAGTACAATTTGCCCTCTGAAATTCAGATGTTCAGAGAGAGTTGTAGATATGTGGGAAAAATATGTATTTTAAATATAAATGTGGAAAATTTATATACTTGAATGCACTAAAATTCTTCTTGATGATATCTTAGGGGGTACGTTCAAGTAGTGAGAACAATTTAAAACATATATGCACATTAAATTAGCAAAGGAGTATTAGATTTCATCACATGAAAAAAGAAACAATGGTCGCTTGAAAAGAAGTGGTAAAGAGAGGGAGTCCATGGATAATCTGATTATAGGTAAGATCATTCCTAGATTTGAAAAAGTGACATTACAAAGTAGGTTGACTTACCCTGTGCTGTTCAAGTAGCTCTGTCCAAGGCTGCATTCTTTCAACTGGGAAGATGGGTTGAACCAGAATGCTGGGATGCATTGATTATTGCTGTGCCTTTCATAGCCATAGTCACTAGGGGAATTTTGAAAATTAAGCCATTTGCATTAATACATAGAGTAGTACTGATTACATTTTTATCATAACATTCTTCTCAACAAATCAGAGTAGATTTAATTCTCTGAATAAGCCTATATCACAAATTTGGTAGAGAGATATTGGTCTACTGAAGGGTACACAGGGACTTTCATTTTTACTTGATGTTTCTTGTGAGATCTCACTGGTCCAAATTTAGTCTTTTTTTAAGGAAGGGAGGAAGATGTCTGTGTATCAGATGTTCAAGAAATAGGAAGTCAAGAGAGGAAGGCTGAAAAGGATAGAAGTTCCACCAGCTTACATCCTATTACCTCTCATTTATACATTGGCTACACAAGTCATCTTCTCTCTGTTTCCTAATGGTTAGAGTTTCTGGCAGGGGACTGGAAGGGAAATTGAGCCACCAAAGTACTTCCAAGGAAATCTAGCCATGAAAATCATCAGCTCTCCAGAACTGCTTTTTTTTCCTTTTTTTTTTTTGACAGAAGTCCTTCCCAGGCTGTGGTATTTGCTATCACTTTAACAATTAGCAAGAAAGTCATTCTTTTTGTAACTAAGTGAAACTTAGTGCCTCTTTGCAATATGCCAAAGCAAGCCAAAAGCCAAAGAGCAGAAAAATGCTCATTTAAGAAAGCAAGGATAATGAGCCATGGCACATCTTTTCTGCAAGACAGCAAATTTTAGTGAAGGAGTAAATATAATGTTTTACACGATTTTTAAAATCTGTTTTCTTCTCCATTTTTATGAACTGATTGCATACTGTATGCATTCGGATGCGTACTCTCCCCATCATACTCAGTTACTATGATTTGAAAATACGGTGCTTTGACTTCTCATACAACAGAAGGCCTCTCTATGTCACTATATATCTATATCTATTCTAATATTGTGCAGTGACATAACCTCGAAGTCTCAAACTACTGTTCCTGCCAGATTTTAGCATTCTGATTTTATGAACACACATAAAAAAGCACCTCAGCACCATATTCAATTGTGGTAAATCCAAAAACACAATTTGAATCCCATGTGCAATTACTCCATTTCTGCAATGTTTTGCAGATTGAATCTGAAATAATAGTAATGGAAAGAGACAAACATCATGTGATAAGACCTATTCAGAATCAGGTTCAAAGAGTCTCAGAAACAAAGTATATCCCAACGTGACAATGCCCTCAGTGCTGATGAAGGATCAGGAGCTGTGTGGGATCAGAAGGAGAAAACATCTGACTAGTGCAGAAGGTAGTGCTAGCATCTAGTGTTGTCTCATGAGGTGCTGGAGCTTAGGCACTTGGCCTCATACTCAAATTCTTCTCAACGATGAGAAATTGAAGATAACAGCGTACCCAAATTGGACTAGAATACTTCAGCATGATTTAATCCATTGCTTTTAGATTATATCCGTTATCATGCCTTGAAGCTATTGCAAAAGGGTCAGGGGGTTATTATCTAAACAAACAAACAAATCCTAGGGAATACAGTAGTGTAAAATCAGGTTGAATATGAAGTTTGTAACATGGATTCAACACTGCTACTGAAAAGAGCATGAATCCTAATTAGAGGTATTATGTGTAGTCTATACTTTTTATAGGCATTTTATTTATGTAAATAAAAATAAATATTTCAAAATCTCAGCAAAATATAAAATGACAAAAGTACTCCCCAAATAAATCATAAAGCAATAAATTACCGGTACCTGATTAAATAGTACATCAATAGCCCTATTCAGGTGTTCAAAGAGGATGCATCAATAAGGCTAATAGGTTTGTGAGTGCAAGGACATCTAGAAAGCTGCAAATTGTTTTATTGAAGCATATTTAGAATTTCATTAGTGGAGAAAGGGAGTTGTGTCTTACATGTACAATTATGAGTGTGTGTACACATGTCTAAATAGCTATCGCAACATTTTCATATGTTCAAAATCCCAATGGCTAAATGCAAATGGAGGAGGAGCAGTGGCTCTTTTGTGGTTTCTTTTCCCCTTCTTGTATTTTCACACTCATTGACATATGTAAAATTCCCAGGTTTTTTACTTCAGAACGTAACCATGAAAGGTTGAGTTCTTGGGCATGTCAGGGAATCAAGAGACTTTTCAACTACGAGGATTCAAGACCACCCTGGGCTTGGCCTATTTGAGCACCTATATCAGAAGTATGCCTAGAATACTTTTACTAAGGGCCCATCTAAACAGCAACCAAAATCTTCAGGGAAGTTCTGAAGGATTCCCCAACTTCTGCTAACATAGGGTAAAATCTGGTTGATTTTTAACATGGTTTTACCCTCTGTTAGATGCCAGAAGTCCATGGATGTTGTCTGGATACCCAGGAGTGACATCTAGCCTGGTTCAAGGTATGTGGCCAGTGCAGACAGGTCCTCACTCTAGGACCCTCTGGGATGGAAGTACCATCTTGTTGACCACACTGTTCTTCAATTGTTACGGGAGTGTCCGATACTCCCGTAACACAATGACTGAGCAGAGGCTCTTTTTCCATGTGTTCACTCCTGCTGCCACATCTAGTCTTAAATACAAAATTAGAATTATTCCATAAATAATCCTTCTAAGGTGAAAACTTGGAACTCCCTCCCTATGGAGGCTAGGATGTCTCCTTCTTTGTTGTCCTACTCTGGTTACACTTTGGAAATGTATTTTGATACGTAAATGCATCTTATCATGTTTTAATGTAAGATTTCAAATGGTTTAAATTATGATGTTAATGCTGTTTTAGTCTTAATTCTGTAAGTTTTTAATACATGTTTTTATTGTGCTTTTCCATCTTGTAAGCTTTCTTGAGTCCTATCTACACTGACCCAGTTTTCAAGCTTGATCTGGATGGCAGATCAGGCTGATAGGAGTCTGAACAGAGACTCTTCAGGCTGCTCCAAACGTAAGTTAGAGGAGTCTCCACTACCCAATGGAACCTAACACAGTTCATTACCATGTGGTGGTCATCCTAAATTTCCCTCCACTGCTTCCCCCCCCCCCCCCATGCCATGTCACATCCCTGGCAGCAACATGGCACCAATCTTCTCCCTATCATTTGCCCTGGCACCAGCCAAAGTGATGGAAGACCAAAGGAGGAAGAGGAAGAAATCCCCCCTCCTGTCCCCATCCTGTCCCCCTCCCTTCCCAGCACTCACTGTCATTCACTGATATCAAAGCAAGCAATGTGGGGAAAATAAGGGTCATGTTGTGGCTGAGGACCAATGTGATATGGGGGGAGGGCGGGGGACTGCCATCCCATGTCATCAGACCACCCACGTGTGAGGAACATAGGATGGCGGCCAGTGTTTACACATTCTCATGTGAATTGTTTACACATCCACAACTGCCACCACTTCTGTGATTTTAGCTGCCCCTTTTCAAGACCTCATTTTTACAGATTTAGCCATAGCCAAGAAAGAGGTCCACATTGTTTCTTACAAAACTGCATAATGAAAATATTGTGTGAAATGGCTGTAGGAAGAAATAGTTTCTATGAATGAATAGTTTTCCAAAGATCCCTGAACTACACTAATATAAATCTAGCATCCAATTAGACAAGATGTTTGGACATGGCTGAAGTCATTGCTGCACTTTGTGGCTGCTGAGTCATTACTGCAAATATAATGTTAGGAAGAGTTTTCCTTCATTTAATTTATGTTGAAGGCAACTGGAAATAATAAGGAGTCACTCACATAGCAATGTCAGACATGATGTCATGACAGTGAATATAACAAAGCCTACTGACTATTGTTTATAGGCTTTCTAGGTCTCCAGAGGATTAAGAAGAGTGGCATAATTTGTGTGTCCCATGATCCTGCATGAATCCCCTTATTCTATAGAGACTAAACATTTTTGAACTGCTTAAAGCAGATCAAAGATTCCCTAATGCTTTTTGTCTTCATGCTCAAATTTAATCATGCTCAGCAGGGCAACCCTGCATATTTAAAATATGCCTGCTAGTGGTTGGTAATTAAAAATGTTCAGGAGGAGCCACATGTTGCCCGAAAGAAAGAAAGCGCTGCATTAATATTAAATAATATTAAAGACAACATTGCTGTGTGCCCCAAAGGCCACAGCCTCGTTCATTAACTTCTGGTAAATGTATATTAAAAATACACATGCTGCCCACCTTCCCATTCAAAAGCCCTAGGGTTTGTATGTTAGAAAAATTACCAAGTCCAGCTGCTGCTCTAGCTTGCTTGGAAAAAACTTATTTGACAAGGGTAAATAAAGAACAAAGGCATAGAAACTTCAAGCAAACATTTTAATGAGATTATTTTCTGCTAGCCTATTATTACATGTCCATTCTGCTCTTAGGAGTTGTCTGGGTTTTAGTCCGCGTACCAAAACTTGGGGAAAAAATGGATTAGACAGAATGGCTGTAATCTACAGATTTGCAGTTCCACTTTTCCCTGAAGGTCAACCCTCATCCAGTAGCTACAAGCACTTGCAAGTTTGTGTCCACAAAAGACAAAGGAAGTAGAGATGAAGAACTAGCAACTTTTGTAGCTACTAGAAGGGTTTTAATGAAGACATTCGCTCCTTATATAGAGTCTGCCTCACAAAATGATTTTTTTTCTTCAAGCCCAAATTCTAGCTTTGCAGACTTTGACCTGAGTATCGCTCATACCTAGAATTTCTCCTTTGAGTTCATATTCCTTTAGTAGTTTTGCCTGCCTATTTTTTTCTGAATGATTACACTGTGTTTCTAAATGCTAAAACAACATTCTAAATTACTGCAATGCTAGAAATTTGAAAACTTGAGCAAAATTTCTTTGGGAGGGTGGTATTTTGACTTCTCCCTCAAATAGCTACATCCATGACTTGGAATGGTGAACATTATTTTTTCCATAGATATTACACAAATACACATGTAATTACTTTAAAATAAATGTCTAATCTGTAAATAATTTTTTTGCACACCTGTTCATATACCTATATACCCAAAATGTCTTGGGTAAACTGAGGTCACACATGGAAAAAGTTTAAGAAGCCCTGATCTAGACAGCATCATAGAAAGTATAAGAAGTGGAGTCAGTAACAGTGGTGCAAATCAATACCATTCACTTGGGGAAATGTAGCTGTACAGGCCTGAGAAACAAATTTAGTTTGTCAGATAAGTGGCTGATTGCCAAAATTTCCAATATAGCTACTTCACATGTAGGATGAACTAGACTAGGGAGAAGAGTCTCAATATGTGATGAAAGAAAGTGGTGGATTGGGGGTAGATTTGTTAAGTGTTAAAGACAATTTCGGAACAAGTCTATAAACAGAAATGGCTTCTCCGGGACCCAGAATGCAGCCAACCTACTTGCACTTAAAAGTTAATAGCATTCAAAATCACCCTCAAGGAAACCTGAAATGAACTGTGAAGCACCCTGTTGGAGATCAATCATCTGCAAGGGATGAAGGTAAAAATATGTTCATTTGACAAGGGGAATGTTAAAAATATAAGCATAAAGAATATGACAGTCAGTCAATGATGAAAGGACTACAACAGGGAAGGCACACAAAAGGAACACTTGTAGAGAAACATCATGTATAAATGTTTTGTGCATATTTTTAAAAGTTCTGGAACAAAGATGAGAAGTGAGGCAACCACCTTTACTGTATTATTCAAATTATTCAGGGTGCAAAAACAAGTGTGGATAGTCCAGAGGTCTAAATATATACTTTCACACGAGATGAAATGGATTGAAAATGGAAAACACAGTCCAGTGTAAATAACTCTAAATCAATTGACATGAAGACAAAAGATGTGTATTTCACACATTTAGTGATGGCTGAGAAGTAGAGGGGGCTTAGGGCTGCAGTGACTGCTCAGTGGGGGGAAAAATCAGCCCGGTGTGCAACTAGGATGAAAAGTCTGGGATGCAATAGGCAATGTATGAAGTCATCCTCACATTCCATATTGGTGAGCATTAGGGTAGGAGGTGAAAATAAAACAGCCCCCTTAAACACACGAATGAGGCAATCAGGAAATACTGTGTGCACCTTTGATCATTGCAACTTTAAAATAAGAGCTAGAAAAAGATCAGAAAAGGGAAAACAAAATGAACAAGCTGCTAAAACACTTCCTTCTCCCCAGCAGGAAATATGTGATTCTTTTTAGTTCAGAAAAAAAGGCTCGCTGAGGCATATAAAATTGTACACGATATGGAGAAAGTGGATATGAAGGGTTTTGTTTCCTTCCTCTTACATACCAAGAGGAAGCATCATGTAATGAAGTAGTACAGTGGGGAATTCAGGAAAGACAGTGTCTTACACACAATAGAAAGCAGAATTCACATCCATAAGTCTGTGCTGAGGTAAGGTTTTGAAAGATAGTCAGATATAGTGGCAAAAAGAAATAACTGATTAATATTCATGATTATTATATTCTGTTCCTAGTAACAAGCAACATAACTCTGGAATCAAGTTAATAAAGACTACCAGCAAAAGGGTGCTTTTGCACTCATGCCCTTTGTTTGTGGCATTTCAATAGACCAGCAGTTCTCAAAGCGTGTTCCACAGAGCCCTTGAGGCCTCACAAAACATACTGAGGGGCTCCGCAGTTTCCTCCTCCTCCCTCCTCCACCTCCCTCTCCAAGCTTTCCTTCCTCTTTCCAGGTCCTCCCCCTCTGCCATCTCTTTCCGTGCAAAAAGCTTTTCAACCTGCTTGCTTGTTGCCAAAAGCCTTTTTTTCCCTCACCTTCCTCGCTTCCCAGATCCTTTTCCTCTCACCTTGCTTGCTTTCAAAATCATATTTCCCTCCCACCACTCAGGGGTGCTTTGTTTGTGCTTTTCCTACATGGCAGAAGGGAGTTGAACCGGATGGCCCCTGGGGTTTCTATTATTATTACTAGCTTCAGTATCTGGCCTTGCCCAGGTTAAATTTTAATTGTACAAAATTCATAAGTTTGTGGGTGAACTACAACTCACATCATGCCAGGTTAACCTTAAAAATCCCCAACAGCACTTAAATTGTATTATGTTGGGCAAATCTGCTCTAGATGCATCAGTGGGGTTCAGTGTGCTCTCTGGCTGTAGGGTAAACTTCAACTCCCACTATGGTGAATCAGTCCCCTCAAAACCCTCCAGTGGGTTGAGTTAGTCATGGGGATCTGTGTGCCATGTTTGGTCCAGGTCCATCATCGGTGGAGATCACAGCTTCTCTGGTTATGGGTGAATTACAACTTCCAGAAAAGAAGGTCAGTTCCTCTCAACCCCCCCCCCCCCAGTAATCACCTTTTGGCATATCAGGTATGTGTGCCATATGCTCCTATTGATGCAGGCCAAAATCCCATTGGCTTTTTTTTCCGCCACATCACATTGTTAGCTCATGTTTAACTTGTTGTCCACAAGGACTCCAAGATCTTTTTCACACGTACTGCTCTCGAGCCAGGCATCCCCCATTCTGTATCTTTGCATTTCGTTTTTCCTGCCTAAGTGGAGTATCTTGCATTTGTCCCTGTTGAACTTCATTTTGTTAGTTTTGGCCCATCTCTCTAATCTGTCAAGATCATTTTGAATCCTGCTCCTGTCCTCTGGAGTATTGGCTATCCCTCCCAATTTGGTGTCGTCTGCAAACTTGATGATCATTTATTTATTTATTTTGTATGCTTATATACCGCAATATCTCAGCCTACAACGGCGACTCATTGCGGTTAACAGTACTTAAAAACAACAATAATCAAACAATTTAAAAGCATAAAAAACATATACAGTACACAGTATCGGGCCACCAATACCGACCAATGCATCTCTTAGTTAAAATCATAATCCGAATTCATCGTCAATAATTACCAGTCCTTGTCATCAACTTCATCGCACCGGATTACCCGAATGCTTGTTCAAACATCCCTGTCTTAAGTTTTTTTCGAAATACCAACAGCGAGGGAGCTGATCTTATCTCTATAGGGAGGGCATTCCAAAGCCGAGGGGCCACCACAGAGAAGGCCCTGTCTCTCGTTCCCGCCAGCCGCACTTCTGAAGCCGGAGGGATAGAGAGCAGGGACTCTCCAGAAGATCTTAGGGTCCTGGTGGGCTGATAGGCTGAGATACGTTCGGATAGATATGTTGGGCCAGAACCGTTTAGGGCTTTAAAGGCCAATGCCAGCACTTTGAATTGGGTCCGGTAGCTAATCGGCAGCCAGTGGAGCTGGTACAGCAGAGGAGTTGTATGCTCCCTGCGCCCTGCTCCTGTTAGTACCATGGCTGCCGAGCGTTGGACTAGTTGGAGCTTCCGAGCAGTCTTCAAAGGCAACCCCACGTAGAGAGCGTTGCAGTAGTCTAAACGGGATGTAACCAGAGCGTGGACTACCGTGGCCAAGTCAGACTTCCCAAGGTACGGGCACAGCTGGCGCACGAGCTTTAACTGTGCAAATGCTCCCCTGGTCACCGCCGAAACCTGGGGTTCCAGGCTCAGCGATGAGTCCAGGATCACACCCAAACTGCGAACCTGTGTCTTCAGGGGGAGTGCGACCCCATCCAACACAGGCTGTAACCCTATACCCTGTTCGGCCTTACGACTGACCAGGAGTACCTCTGTCTTGTCTGGATTCAATTTCCTCTCTCCATTCACTAAGTCATTAATAAAGATGTTGAACAGGACCGGGCCCAGGACAGAACCCTGCGGCACTCCACTTGTCACTTCTTTCCAAGATGAAGAGGAAGCATTGGTGAACACCCTCTGGGTTCGTCCATTTAACCAATTACAAATCAATACATACATTCTGCATTTTAAAATAAAAAAATCAGTCAAATATATGTATATAGTGCAGAGTCAACCCAGGTAAATGTTTGAATATATAGTGAATCTGTATTATTAAAGAGGTATTCTGTGGAGAGAATCTGTCCATCACTCTCACTGCATAATACTTTGATGGTAGAATGGTAAATAGGGTACAACAACAACATGTTATTATGTGTCAGCTTTGGAACTGAGTGCACAAAGCACAAAAAGAATTCTCAGAAAATGCTGCAAAGGACAACTTGACTTACCATTCAAAGTCCCATTCAGCGCAGATGCAGGGTTCGGAAACAACTGTTCTTGAATACTCTCTAGTCAGTGAGCACCATGCCCCTGCCTTTCGCTTCTTATAGATTTTCCTTTCTCCCATGACACAAGGTTCACCCTTTGATGCAGAAGAAGGATGAGCCAGAGTGAAGAAGTGAAAACCAATGAACTCTGTACACCTCTCTTTGTAAGAGAGGTGCAGGGTGTTAATCTCTACAGATAACCTTACTATGAGATCAATTAAAAAGTAAGGACTCTATCATTATATTCCTTTTGATCATTTATTTGTAGGAAAAAAGTGGCAACAAAACACAAGCAGAAAAGCTAGAATAAAACATTTGAAGTTCTAAATAGCATTTCTAAACCTTTATGGGCAAAACAAAATAAATAAATTATAAAGTCTACATATACTACGGAAAAAGACATTCAATCTTTTTTTCAAGACACCTTGAAGGAATGAAGAAAAACAACCCCAGGAAATCCTCAGTGACAGATTTTGCAGCCTGATATGGACTTTTAAACTTCAGCTTCTGTGTTTAAACACCAGACCTTCACTCAGATTAAAACTTATCTCTGTGCCTTAATTATAACAAATTTCCAATCATTAATTAAGTCATAGGAAGCCATACTGTGGTTAATTAAAATTAGTCTTTATACAAATGGTGACTGCAAATATTTCTAGAATTCTTTCTTCTTTAGCTCCTTCTTGTTGAACCTTAACAGAGCTGCATTTAACTCTCTGTCACTTAACTTTTCTCCTCAGAACAACATCATGGCAATCTTGAAGATTAAAGTTCTGCTTCTCTTTCAATATTGCTGTGCTTAGTACCTGTCTGTATTTTTCTTATTAGTGTTTGTTTACAGTTCCTTCTCTTCAGATTTTCCTACAACCCATCTTTCAGTGTGATTAAATCAAATGATTAACAACACTCAGACTAGAAACATAGATGTAATTTAACCATTATTTTGGAATAAAGTCAATTGTACAATCAGCCAAAAGGAAGCAACTGCTTTAGGTTACAAATGCTAAGCGGTAGTACAGGCAGTCTCGTGGTTTTCACAGTTAGAGAAAATAGCCGAGTACACAAAACTAGGCTTGGGCCTGGGTCAGTTTGACAAAAAGTTATTTGTAATATTCGGTGGTTCACTTCATTCAATCCCCAAAAACAGAACAGGGAGGAGGGAACTTGGAAGCTGGACAAAAGTGATCACGAGAGCCAGATTTATTGGCTACTGGAGAGGATGGAGTTAAGTCTGCAATATACCTGAGGCAGGGGTCTGCCGCACAGGCTCCTAGAGAAGATGGGATTAACTGTAGCATCTTTTCTCCCTCCCTGGCAGTGGAAAAGTTCCCAAGGCTCCTCCTCCAGAGAGGGCTCTGCTGGGAACTCGCTATTCCAACAGCACTTGCATGGGGCAGGCATTGAAAAGTCTCTGAGTTTTTTCTTCTCTCTCTGTTTCTCAGCCAAGAAAAGGCCTGGTTGTGTCCATGCTGGAAGCCACTCTGAATCCTCTTCGGGGTAAGATACAGTGGGAGTAAAAATATAGTAAATAAATAAAAAATAAATGCTCTGATTGGCTGAGAATGGACACAACCAGCGACTACAATTCCTAGAACCCTCTCTTATGGTTTGTCTTATTTTAAAAAACATTATGGTAAACACTATGGAGCCCTCAGTGGCGCAGTGGGTTAAACCCCTGTGCCAGCAGGACTGAAGACCGACAGGTCGCAGATTTGAATCCGGGGAGAGGTGGATGAGCTCCCTCTATCAGCTCCAGCTCCTCATGTGGGGACATGAGAGAAGCCTCCCACAAGGATGATAAAAACATCAAATCATCCAGGTGTCCCCTGGGCAAAGTCCTTGCAGACGGCCAATTCTCACACAGGAAGCGACTTGCAGTTTCTCAAGTCACTCTTGACACGACAAAAAATAATGGTAAACACTTAAAATAATTCTACAAAATGAATATTGGTGAATTGTTCTGAACTTGGCAGGCCAGCAGTTATAAATGGGGTCTAAAAATGAGGTAGGTTTCATGCAGAAAGGCCTTAAAATGGCTGAGGGTTGAACCTTTAAAGTTTCTCATTGTAGCCAAGGGGTCAAATCTTTGCCAATTGAAAAAGGCAACACTCCTCCTGATTCGGGTAACTTCCCGGTAAACAGAATGAGGGGCTAGCCAAAAAAAGACCCCGAAACAGCATGCCTTTAGGCTGAACTGCATAAGTCTACACAAAACAATGTCCTTGCTTCTCTAAACTGCCTCTGGTGTGGTTGAAGACTGTTCTCCATTTGCCAGAGCTGTCAGTTATCATGACAATCAGCTTTTGTGTGACAATTGGGCTGGAATTCAAGGTCTGGTCCTGATGGGGAAGAAGAATGAAAAAAACAAAACATTCCACTTAGTAATACCTGGTTGTGAAGATGCCATGTCTGGAAGTCATCCTTGGTACACCTCCGGCTAAAGATGGATTTATAATCCACTTTTATGAGTTGCCACTCAGAACGGAGACTGAGATGGCCAAAGATCCTGAACATGGATAGGGAAAAGGGGAATAAGGGAGGGAGAGAGGAGAGGGAGAGAGTTGCAATTAATCTGTCTGGAAAATATTCCTTTTAGACTACATGTATAGGAATCATCTGGTCCCAAAAACCATGAGAGGAAATTGCATTGCTTCTCAGCACCTCCACAACTTGAAAAAGAGAAGAGGTAAGCTTTCCCAACATAAGTTTGCTTTGTCATTATTGCTGAGAACCTTGATACTTGATTTCTCCAACATTGTAATCCTCAAGTGGCTGACATTTTTTAAAAGGTATTTATTTATTATTTATTTATTTAGACCATTTCTACCCCGCCCTTCTCACCCCCGAGGGGGGACTCAGGGCGGCTAACACAGGCAACAATTCAATGCCAACAGTATCAAAACAACAATATAAAACAGCAATATAAAATCCATTACATAACAATTAAACAGTGATATTAAACCAATGACAACTAAAAACATGATGGTTGGATTCTAAGATAAGTTTCAGAAGTTTCTGGAAGTAATGTTGCTCATTAATTCTGCCACCCTGAAGCAATCTATGCCTGTGCTCCAAAAGCTATCAACAGGGTCAGGGCTCCTTCCTGAGCAGGAACTGGACATATGGAGTTGCAGGGGAAGAAGGGGTTCCTTTTATAAATAGCCACATGAAACATTTTTGATTTGAAGTGTGATTTGAAAGATTTTTTTCCCTTTCTCAGTACCAACATACAGTCTATACAGTTCAAAGGAGTCACAAAGACTGCTGACAGACTTTTAGAGTGGTACAGGTGGTGCTAGGAGAGAAAACAAATCTTTCCATTAAATCTCTTTGGGTAATTATCATTTCAAGTGACATCTTAAGATCCATGCCATTAGAAATGAATTATAAAAACCACAGACTCCAAATTCTAATTACACATTCAAAATGTAGTATTTTTCAGTACACAAACCCTGCAACTAAGAATTCTTCACAATTTTCATTTCATTATTTTTCCAAATATGAGCATATCATATTCTTTGCAACTTATATTCTTTCACAGATTCTGTCAAAGCTTTGGGATGTCTGGATTTCATGACTGCATAAGGTATCCCTTGGCTGGATCTTGAAAGTACAGATTGGGGAAATCTATAACATGAATATGTGAATACACACATAAAGAGGCACACTTCCCAAAATGAATTTCTTACCCATCCCTAAATCCCTCAGACATTCTCAGAAATTTCAGGACATAGAGGAGTATCTCAGAGGCCTCCTTGTGTCTGGGAGGCTCAAATCTGAGAAGGCAGTTTCATGTATTCAATAGTACATTTGGGTCATGATTTAGTTTAGGAACAGACTAGTAACTAAAGAGACAGAATAGTGGCCAATGTAGCAGTCTAGTTAAAGCTTTTTGAACTTGCTACAATAAACAAGTTTTACTATGCTTTTCAAAGGCAGGTAAACACAGATTATACTGTACTGCTTCAAATGACAGAAAAATATGATATATGTCCCCATGTTTTCAAGACAGAGATATAACACAGTGGGCCCTTGGTATCTGTTGGGATTTGGTTCCAGGGCTCCATATGGATACTGAAATCTGTGAATGCTCAAATCCCATTATATATAAGGTTCCTTATATAAAATGGTTTGCTTTTGGGATTTAAAAAATATTTTCAGGCCATGGATAGTTGAGTCCTTGGATGCACTGGGATTGTGGCGCAGCTGGCTGGGAGTAAATGGCATTAAGATCACTACTGACTGAAAGATCATGAGTTCGAAGCCAGTCCAGGTCGAAGTGAGCTTCCAGCCAATTTGTGTAGCTTGCTGTCGACCTTTGCAGCCCGAAAGAGAGTTGCATCTGTCAAATAGGAAAATTAGGTATCACTTATGTGGGGAGGCTAATTTAACTAATTTACGAGGCCATAAAAATCTCCAGCAAGCATGCGGGGAATGAGGAAGTACTTCATTAGTGTCGCAGATGGGCAGTGAAGTGACAGCTCCCCTGGCGGCCAGAAAAAGTTGGAATGATAGATAGACTCTGACTGTTTGTCTATATGTGTTGTGTGTCTATGGCTTTGAATGAGAATACATTTGCCATAATGTAATAGATATTTTTCTAATTTAAAGTCTTCAGTCCTATGGTCTAAACCTGGGCTTTCAGGTAGAACTGAATCCACACTCTTGATAATCCAGTGCAGAAGTACACTTTGGCTGATGGTGATATGGCTGACAGTAAAATTCTCAGAATGAATAGTGTTGCCTGTCAGAAAATGCCTGAATGAGGTTCTGGGTTTTTAACAAATTCCTAAGATAAGAAGAAACCCTTTCAGATATACATTTTTCAGAAGGTACCCAAGGTAGAATATGGAGAACATAAAGTGGAAGGGGAACAAAGCGAAAACTTTTTGTTATTGTTGTTATTTTTCTAACATTCCCTTCCTTGCCTTTTTGATATATACTTCTATAGTGGATTTGAACCTCAAAAAGAATTCAGAACAAGGGAACATGCAGTAAAATTTAAAGTACACAAATACAAACTGGTGCTTATCTGCTCAGAAGTGAGTTCACCAGGTTCAAAGGTGCACTGCTGCCTGAAGCATTTGTGTGACTTTAAAAATCTCACTGGACAAAAAGCAGAAGCCTTTGAAAAAGAAGGGGGGATACAACAAAAAATCTTTTAATTAATAAATATCCGCAGGCATCCAGAGAAAAAATTCCGTTCATTGGTCTATCTGTGGGGGGTCTGTTTTTGATCAAGAAACTGTCCTTTGTACAACATATTGGTAGTGTTTTCTCAGTAAGGAAGAGTTCTTCAATCAGCTAGAACCCCAATTCCAAAGGAGTTGGTGGCAGGAACAGATGATGACACCAGTGGACATTTTAGTATGTAAGCAAAGCTTGACTATCTCTCCTAGAGAAGCTGGTGGAAGAAATAATTTTTGTCACTGCTAGTCACTGTGCAGGAGACTATTCTGGAGCTGACAATCTCAGTTGAGAAGATATCAATAAGATAGGTTAAAATAGCTTTTTGAGGAAGTGTGTTCATTTTTTAATGTCAAACTAGCCAAGTAAAGAACCCTACAGTGTGATATTTATTTGTTCGTTGGGAAGAAAAAGAGGATCATTATTTTTTCCCTGTGTGTTAAATCATGTGGTCAGCTAAAAAAAGCTCATTTTCTTCATGTTGTTTTTAAAGGAAGAAGAAGTGGAAAATGAAACATTTGCACTGCCACATAGGCATTAATTTATACCAGCATGCTATAGTATGCCTTCACTGTGAAATCATGGTAGGACCATAATCACACAACACAATCAAATTATACAACTGCTAGTCAATTTTTGTGATAGAGAGGAAGGCAATTTATGGTGATCTCAGGCACTGCTGACTAAAAACTCCATCTGTTTAACATTAGCCATTGTTGCTAATGGTGGGGCATGATAGAAGCTGCAAATGCAGAGCACTAAAAATGTATCATCTTTGATGTATCACACATGAAATCTGTCCTATGTTTCAGGAATCATGTGATTAGGATGCAAGAACAACTGGCCAGTCACTGTGCTGAAGGCTGAAACAGGACCGTGGTTGTCAGCTGGTCCAAGAGTTGTCATAAGTCAGTTGGTCCAAGAGTTGTCATAAGTCAGTAGATACAAGAGTTGTCATAAGTCAGTAGATACAAGAAAAAGGAGTAAATGAAACTATTAAAGTATAGCCAGTCAACAGTGAAGAAAAGATGAATGCCAAAGAGTACTGACAGATAAGGTGGTTGTGAGCAACAGGGAAGATGGGGAGCTGCTGGGAGATAAATAGCCAGAAATCTCCAAAACACCAGGTGCCTTATTATTCAGCATCTCCCATTTAAATGTCCACTGGGTTTGCCATGAACTCTCTCTTTCTCTTCATCATTCAAAAATAATGGCGACTTGTCTTCAATGCTCTCAGTATGCACCACATATGAACAGCCTTACACACTCCTCACCCCACTGTCTCGGTCACCAGCTTCCTGAACTTAGAGAAACCACTATCACATTCCTGGACATCCAATTCTCACCATAGCTGAATTGCCAGATTCCAAAGAGTGAGTTACAATACTAATGTTGGTTCTGAGCACAGATCTCCCCCTCTATTACTCACTATATGAAGCAGCTACTTCAATGTGGACTTCTTCACATAGTATCATAGAATCACAGAATAGGAAGAGACCACAAGGGCCATCCAAGTACAACTCCTGCCATACAGGAATACGCAATCACAGAACTACAAAGAGATGGCCACCCAGCTTCTATTTTAAAACCTCCAGAGAAGGAGACTTCATAACATTCTGAGGCATGGATGAGCAACTCTTATCATTAGGAAGTTCTTTGAAATCTTTAGGTGGAATTTCTTTTGTTGCTTAAATCTACTGCTTCATTGCCTAGTCTCTGTAGCAACAGAAAATAAGTTTGCTCAATTTTTAGTAAAGCCACATGTACATCAACCACACTTTTGGAGAAAGAGTAGATCCCCCCCCCCCCCAATACATACCAACATCCTTATTGTAGATTTTCAGCATTGAAAACTATTGCTTGCACATTTACCCATGACCAAATTTGTCATTTAAAAATCCGAATGTTTTCAAAATATATCAGAGATCGGGGGACAGGGGGAACAGAGACTGATAATCTTAGGTAGATTGCGGGTGGAAAAAAGTTGTCTGAGGAAAAGTGAATACATTAGCATTCAAAAAGGCACAAAGTGCTAGCTACTCTTTAATTAAATGATTTCAAAGAGGACTTGTGTATTTAATTACTATAATTTAGATAGAAACAATAGTATAATAAATGTAATTAGAACAGCGGGAGTTGCAAAGGATGTTTTCTTTCTAGCTACAGAAATAGTTCTAGGTCAAATTGCTTGTATAATAAGAGGCCAGTCTTCTCTCTCTCTCTCTCTCTCTCTCTCTCGCTGTAAAATTAGAGGTAATGCAAATTTCCAGTTTTAAATCTGGAATTTAGATTTCATGTAGAGCAGGCTTCTCCAATCTG